GGAACTCCAACCTTTCAGTTAGCAGCCAAGAGGCTATTTGCATCACCACGCTTGCTTCCTTGCTTTCTTCACACCCTCCTAACACAGGGGTCTCAGTACTGGGTAGTAAGAGCAACCCCCCAGATCAACTGTCATTTTAAGAGACATTCTGGGGGGTAGGAGTGAAAGCAGTCATTTCCATGATTGGATTCCCCAGCTCTCAGCAGTCCCACATACCTCTGTTGCTTCCATTCTGGTTCTATGAACCAATTACGAGGCAGAGAATTAGGCAGGATGCAGTCCTCAGATGACCCATCACATATATAGCGTTCCTCCTCACCATCCGTTCCTTCCACTTCCACCCAAATCATTAAGACATAAGCTTCATGACATAAGATGGAGTGTAAAGAAATTACAAAGGCTTTTTGGCCAAGGAAAAAGAGAATGGAAATATTTGGGATGGGCCCAAGCTGGCATATGACCCCATATTACAGGAATACTATTTTAAGTAAGGCTGCTACTAGGTAAAATGATCCTGAGGCTAAATTAGACCCTCTAACACCTGGAGGTGAGCAATGGCTAATCTCTGTTACACTATCACACTCACACTGCCGCCAAGCCTGTGCCAACTCACAGTGACCATATCGGGCAATATAGAACTGCCCGTGTGCTTCTGAGACGGTAACTCTTCATGGGGATAGAACGCCCCATCTTTTCCCCACGTTACACTATATTGAATTGCCTGTACTTCATTATACCAAGAGTGTTAATACATTCCACACCCCCTGCCCCTCAAACAAGGGCTCTTTTAAGGAATATTACTTTTTTCCCCTCCAAGCTTTAGTTCAGAAGGACTGATTGCAAAGAATTGCCCTATGCTTTAAATGAAAAAGAAACACACACAAAAATATACCATTTGATTTAGATTTGGGGATTACTGAAATGACATGGATGATTCGGACCAGTTGTCAGTGATTTAGATTTCAATTTATAGCGACCGTACAGCAGAGTAGAACTGCCCCAACAGGGCTTCCAAGACTGTAAGCTTTCTGGAAACCGACTGCCGCCTCATTCTCCCACGCAGAGGCTGGATGGTTTGAACTGCTGACCTTTCAGTTAGCAGCCAAGTGCATTGTACAGTCAAGACTCCTTAATTCTCAGCAGAGGAGGGAAAACAAATTTTGGAAATGAACCTTTAATTTTATACTTCTAGAAGTCAGTTGACTTTTTTATAGCATTGAACATAAATCATTTTTTATAGCAAATGAATGTATTGCTTCATGTGACAGAGCCATTAATTAAAACTGATGATTTTCAATAACTTTATTTTACCTCCTAATTATTCTGGCTTTTAATGGAAATAAAAGGAAAATGTACTTCAAGGGACACCATTAGGAATATGGAGATGGCTCACAAAATAAGAGAAACTATTATCAAACCATACAAGAGAGTAAGTCATAAAGTATTGCTTCTAGGGTTCTAGTTCATACATGAACATGTTTATTCCAAACAAAACGTGCTTAAACATATCTCTGTGGTCTGTAGATGGCTGTAAAACAAGTTCTCTCAGTAATACCTCTGTCTTAGACTCCTTAGGGGGCCTTCAAAAGAAGGCCAGGAAAACAATGGCTTCTTGGGGAATCTGCTGAACCAGTTAAATGCAAGGCAGATAGGGCAGCACAGCAAGTTATGGCACCTGTCTCGGAGATAGGGGAAGGGTAATCTTGATAGATTTCCTAGAAGGATACAAGATGATGATGGGGACTTATTAGCATGGTGTTTTAAGAAAATTGAAAAGTGCACTGATAAAAAGGCCAGTAAATTGCATCACAAGGGTGTGTGGATTGTGATAAGAGTTGTATGAGCCCCTAATAAAATGATTTTGAAAATGTAAAAAATAAACAATAAAAAAATTGCACCACAGGCTTTTCTTTTTTTTGACAACACACATGCTCCTTCTTCAAGGGTGGCAAAGACTTTCCCATGAACATTTTATTGGGAAACCTTACCACTCTACAGCCCTGCCTTTGCTCCTTCAGACCTCTTGTTCCCCAAGACTCAATGCACATTTAAAAGGAAAATTATTTGACTCTCTAAATAATGTCAAATCGATCTTTTTTTTTTTTTTTTTATGTGGTATAAATCAAAGAGCACAGAATTCTCCGGTGACGGGTTATCTGAATGTATTGGCATAGGTAGAGCATTTGTTGAAAAACAAGGGGTGCACGTGTGGATGTGTTGGTTCCATAAGGGTTGCTATTATTTGGAACCATACATTTTTTATTTACTCTTGTATCAGATGGGGGAATTTCTATCCAGAACTCTTACACCTCAATAATAAAAAAATCAAATAACCCGAAAGCTAAAATGGGCAATGGATTTGAAGAGGCGTTCCTGCCATATAAGATCTACGAGAGGCCAATAAAGCGTGGGAAAAGATGCTGACCAGGACTTGTCATTAGCCCCAAACCCTGCTGCGGTCCTGTGAATCCGAACCCAGGGTGACCCCGGGAGTGACTAACTTTCTTAGTTATACCCCTGTGTAAGCAGTTCTCCAAGCTGCTGGGCTGCCTGAAAATTCCCATGTGTGGTAGTCACTTAACCTGGTGTCAATTTATGGATTAAGAGTGGAGGGGTGGAGTCTAGGCTGTCAATCTGGAGACAGCCAATGAAACTTCTGTGGGCACGGCCTTCTCCTGAGAATTCTGGGAAATCTGGTACTTCCTCCTTGGAGGCGGAAGACACCTCTTTCTGCTGCTCCCTGGGAGACATAGCAGAAGACAAGCCACATGGATGCAACCAGACCTCTGAACCCCGAGAAGTCCCAGAGAGACCCCTGCCAGCACTGAGATGCCTACAACACCACTGGACTCTGGCCTGTGATCGTCCTACATTCGGCTTCATTGCATGTGTATCTTGAGTCTGAATAGGACTTTATAGATTGATACTGGAAATATGGACTAATATCAGACTTATGGACTTGATCTAGACTGGGCTGGGATGTTTTCTCAATGTTTAATTGCTCTTATATATAAACTGCTCCATTATACACATATGTGTTTATGAATTTGTTTCTCTAGTCTACCCAGACTAACACACCATATCTAAATTGGTAGGAGAGGGAAATGTGGCCCCTAAGAGCGTCCTTAATCACTAGGGAAATGTAAACAAAACCACAGCGAGAGACCACTTTACACCCTTACAGTGGCTCAAAAACCACCTAACACCCCAACAAAAACCTCACTGCCACCCAGTGTATCCCTTCTCACAAACCCCCCTCTTGGGATTCTGATGCTGTCAGTCTTTATGGGAGCAGACAGCCTCATCTTTCTCCTGCTAATCAAGAAGCCTGACAATAACAAGTGTCAGCGAGGAGGTGGAGCACTTGAAAACCTTAATACATTGATGATGAAATGGAAATGAGTGCAGTCGCTTGGAAAACAGCTGGATAGTTCGAGAGTCAAAATGTTAAATATCGAGTTATCATATGACTCAGCATTTCCACTCCTGGAGATTGAAAACATATGCCCATACAAAAACAAACAAATGAAAAACCATGTACACAAATATTCATAGCATTCTTAAGAGCCAATAAATGGCCACAACCCAAATGCCTCTGATAACATATGGTATATCCAAGCAGTGGAATGGTAGTTAGCCGTGAACAGGAAGGACACAGTGATGCAGGCTACAATCTAAAGGCACCTCACAAACACTATGCAAAGAGAAGGCAGCCTGTCACAAAAGATCAATTGTTATAGGAATCAATTTTATGTAATGCTCAAAGAGGCCAATTTCTATAGTATTGGCTGCTTAGGGCTGGGAGTGGAAGGTTGGGGTTCACATCAGGAGTGACAACTACAGACATTTCCATTTGGGGTGGCAGAAATGTTGTACAATTAGATTATGTTGCAAAATCCTGTCAATATGCTACCAATCATGGAACTGTGCACTTTCAACAAGTGGCTCTTCTGGTATAGTAATTATATCTCAAGAAAGCCATTTCATAGGCAAGAAGATGCAAAGCTATACTATATTTTTGGTGCCTCAAAAGAACCCCTGGTGGAGAGGGGCTTACCACTAAGGCTACCAAGGCAAGACAGGCAGTTGTAAACACCAGTCATCACTTTATTAGAATGCTGAGCCTTTTCGCTCTGGAAACCCCCAGGGGCATAGTTCTACACTGTCCTATCGTGGCTATGAGTCAGAATTGACAATGGCACTGAGTAAAAAAAAAAGTTTGTTTCTGTGCTTAGATCTTATGCTCTATAAGAAAGGAAAATAGAATAATTGAGGAAAATGAGGGTCAGGAAACAGCAACCCCAAATATTTGGATTTTAAGAAAAATGTGTGTACTGGACTACGCCATAGAATACAGTGCTGACTAAAGGCTTCGGCTTACAATGGACACCTATTTCTCAACAAACCAAAGGTTCAATGAAAGGTGGGAAGATGGCAGCATTGCTGAGCGCAGAAGAAACCTCAGCAGGAAGGCTTTAGAATCCGGCCCCTCCCATAATTCACTAGCATCTCAAAGCCTGAGCAGTCACTCACAAAGAAAGAGAGGCCAAATGTCTCAAGGTGCCCGTTCCCTGCACCCAGAGGTGGCTGTCATGTACCCTAGACGGTGAACCCTTGGGGAAGACCTTTCCAGCTTCCATTCCAAAGCTGGGGCGCTCTCCAGTCGCGCTCTCCCGCGTAGCAAATCCGCCTGGCTTCTCAGCGTTCTCAGCGACACCGCCGCACGCAGAGAAGCGAGTAGGGGGTCCCCGGAGCCACAGGCGGCGCAGGATGCAGGCCCGGGCGGGTGGGGCACCGCGGGCAACGTAGGGCGCCGATCCCCCTCCCCCGCCGCCGGGGCAGACTTCTGTCTCGCGGTCCCCAGCCCCGCTCGGGGCGCGCAGGACCTCGAACGTGTCCGGGACCCAGGTCACAGGGTCGCCAACGTCCCCCGCTGCCCCAGCAACGTGTTCCAGCCGGCACGCCCCCCTCCAACCCCCCTCCAACCACCGCGCGCCTACCTTCCGCCACCATTTCCAAGACATTTGGGTCTCCCATCATCGCCAGCTCGTTAAAGACACTGAAGGTTGAGCGGCAGTCCAAAGTGGGCACCAAGGACAAGCGGCCTGGAGAGTCTGCGCAGACGCTGAACCTGATCGTGGGCCTGCGGTACGTCAGCGGGAGCTGCAGGTCCGGGAGCTGCAGGTCCGGGAGCTGCAGGTCCGGGAGCTGCTCGGGGTCGACCCGGGGCCCCGCCGCCAGCTGCGCCTTGCTCTTCGACTTCCAGCGGTGCTTCTTCGGCGGCGGCGACGTGTGCTGTGGCCAGGACCTCTTGAGCTTGAGTCTCCAATCTTCCTCGGCCTCCTCCTCTTCTTCCTCCTCCTTCTCCTCCTCCTCCTCGGCGCTCCACTTGACTGCACCGTCCGGAGGCCTCTGCCGGAGTCTGTCTGGGCCGCGCCTGGACTTTCTCTCCTCCCAGGGCGCCCGCCTCTCCCGGGGCTGGGCGCCAGCCGCGTCTCCCCGCCTCTCTCCCCGCCTCCTGGCATCGCGGGCCTCCGGCGCCCTCTGCTCCGCGGGTGGCGGCTCCCAGCTGGCCGGCACCTGTCCTCGCCGGTCGCCCGGGTCCGTCGGCTCGGCTCTCCAGCGGTCCTCCGAGCCCCCGCTGTCCTGGCTTTCTAGGCTGGGGAACTCCGTTCTCCCCGGGGCTCGCCGGTCCCTTTCCACCGACTCTGCCCACATCGGGGACTCCTCTCTCCGGTGGTCCGCGGCCTCCCTTCTCGATGGACTGGCCTCCTGCCAGCTCGACCCTCGGGGCCGCCGCTCCCACGGCGAGCCGTCCCGGTCCTTCTCCATCCCACTGGCTCGCCTCCGCCCGCCGCGGGGAGCACTAGGAGGGAGGAACCCCGTCCCTGCTCCCGAGTGACTATTTTTCTGTCGGATGGGGAACAAAATGTCTCCCTCCCCAAAAATAACGCCCTCACCCCGACCCCCCCACCCCTGAAGACCGGCGGGTGGCTGGGGTCTTGGAGATTCTAACAGACTTCTTGACTTGGGCCGCCGGCACGTGCATGTTAACTACCTCTCCCCCCGCCCTAGCGGGAGCTGTTTCCAGGGCGCTAAAACCGATCTCTGTCTTGTACAGTAAGGGAGGAAAGTTAAACACGTGCCTCCAGGGTCACCCCAAAATTGAATAGGCAAGTTGTCCTACGCTTCACTTTTGTCGTCGTTAAAATGAGAATGATACCATCTCCTAGGCGTGTTGTGGGGGCACGTCATGTGGCTGCGTGGTCCGCAATGCATTTGCATTCCCTCACCCTTGCTTCACTTCAAAGGGTCTTTGTCCGCCAAAAGAAGCCCCAGTCCTCCCAGGTCTCTCTGAAAATCTGGTCCAGGTTCTTGAGAGCCCAGCGACTGCTCGCTTATATACATGGAGAGAGAAAAGGAATTACATTTTAAGAGGCAAACACAGGCTGGGTGGGGTGAGAGGGGAGTCGTCGAGTTTTCCCACAGGGAGGATGCCTCCTCGGTTGGCTTCCTGACCAATGCTCCTCAAACACAAGCACCATTTGTTAGTGGACGCTCCTGTGATGTGGAGAAAACTGGAAAATAAGGCAATCTACTTCTAACAGCCAGTCCATGGAAGCTCTACAACTATCTGGCCTTGCAGGGCGTGGGGCTGCCGGTGACCCCATGAAGGCTAAGGAGGAGGAAGGAGGAACAATGCGTGGTGATGAAGGCCAGGCAAGCTTGGAGAGGGGAGTGCCTACGCTTTGGGGCAGGGATGAAATGATTGGAATAAGGAGGAGGTCAACCAAGGGAAAGTTCAGAGTTCACTCTTACACATTTTTTGGTCTACTTTCACTCTCCCCACCCCCACCCCCCTTTCTAGGAGAATAGGACAGGAGCCCTGTTGGTACAGTGGTTGAGCCTTTGGGTGCTAACGAAAGGTCAGCAGTTCTAACCCACCAGGTACTCTGGGTGAGAGAGATGCAGCAATCTGCTTCCATAAAGCTCCAAAGCTTTGGGGTCCCTATGGGCACTTCTCTCTGCCTTAAGGTAGAGATACATGAGTCTCCACAGCAATGGGCATGGTTTGGTTTGGCGTATTGGCACGGGATCACTAGGGGTCAATTAACCAAAGTGCAGTGGCTAGTTTTATATATTAGAACTGAGGGTCACTTTTTACAGATGAGGAAAGGGAAGCTTCCTAGAGTCCTTTGGCGGAGGCCGGAGCTAGGCTTATAGCAGAGCAATTCACTGTTTTCTCTTCTGCCTTGCTGGGTTTCCTACTTAACCCTCCAGAATTATACTCTTCTACTTAAGTGTTTGGAGATTGTGCACAATTTCTTACCTTCCTTACTTGCTGTATTTTGGAATTTTGTGACAAAGGTGAATAAGAGGTAGACTAACAAAAGAAACTTTATTTTTGTTAACTGCGAAGACTTGCCCGTTTCTTCAGAAAGCTGACTGCTAATTGACCTGCCTGTACTCTTTCCAATTATGGGAAAGTCTCTGCTGGTGATTGCTTTTAGAATGTACTCTCATGTTCCCAGGTTCAGGACACCATCGTTCGTTTGGACTATGCTTCAATATATAATTTGTTTTCATTGTTTTTCAATATTGTTCCTTTTGATGTTGTCATCTGAGTGCTGTAATTATCTTCTCATGATAACCAGGATGTAATCATCAATTTTGGGATTGTTTCTGTTATAAGGAATGTACCTTGTAATGCATGCTTGCTGCTCTTGAAGTGACACAACCAGTTAATTTGCTTTCTGCTTCTGCTCATGCTCGCTGGAATCCTAGACAGGTGATAAATGAGTTTGGGGCCTTTAAAGATGGACTGAGAAATCCATTCGGGGCTGCTATGAGGGGAAATATCTTTAGTTTCTTGGTAGCTGAATAAAGACTTCTAAATTTCAAGACATTTAGTGGCTGTCATTTATTTGCACCCATAACAAATACTCATTACTTACATGAAATTAAAATACATTACTAAATATGTGAAACATATTTAGTTTGGACTGTTTTGGAGGTTTTCTGTTCCCTCTGTATGCAGGTGCTATGGACAGTAGACCAAACCCAATCAAAACCATCTCTTTCACATAAATAGAAGTAAAGGCGATAACGTTATTTCTGTAAGTTTGCATACTTCCTTGTTTCATACTTCTAAATCTTCACCATGTTGGAAATGGCATATATGAGACTGTATCCCATGTTGATGGATTGTCCATATTTAATATAATTTTATGCTGAATTACCTGATAACTTTATCAAGCTCCTTGAACGATGTGAATCAGAAACAAGGCTAGGTGTGCCCTTTTGATAAAGCTTGCTTTCCTCACCACAACTCTCACAAGCTTCAGACTTTTCCCAGCATTTGTACCACTGAACTATTTTATGCTGCTCTTCCGTTTGTAATTTTAGGATCTGTTCATGTCCTCAATCACTGACCCAGCCTTTTAGAAACATTCTTTGCTGCTTGCATGTTCTTTTAAGGTGATTGGACATGAATGATTTCTTTTGGCCTTCTGACCGATGTCAGTCTTTGTTTCAGCCTCCTGCAGCACTTTTTTTTTGGCTTTGTTTTCATTTTTCCTTTTAGGCTCTATACTAATGGTAGTATATAAATAATTAAAAGGTTATACAGAAACCGCTATAGATATATAAATGGCAATGCATTGGAAACCCATCTGTTAACTGTCAGTTTAAGATTCTTGTTTATAAATTACTGAATAAAATGAAGTTAGTGTTGGGAAGGCAAGTTTGGGATGTCAGTACATTATGTGTGAAAATTATATGTATTACAAATGAGCACATGCTTTCAAATATATTTACTTAGAAGCTTGGTAAACTAGATGAATTTAAGGTTGGTTAAAGAGGATGAGCACCTGACCTAGATTCTCAAGGCCAGATAAGAACTTGGGACTTGGGGTCTTAAAGGCTTGAAGGTAATCAAGCGGCCATCAAGCTCAGAAGCAACCAAGCCCACATGGAAGAAGCACACCAGCCTATGCAACCACGAGGTGTCGAAGGGATCAGGTG